ACTCAAAATATTAACTGTTATGGAATATGGTTTACACCACAACGCAACCCTAAACAACTACAATGTAACCTTCGGGAACTTTCAGATAGGGATTCGGCACAAGTTCGGTTCATCGACCTCCTGAGCTTCCACGCGGGTTTGTGTACAGAGCAATAAAACATTTAATGTAAGCTTTTTTACATTCACATTTTGTCTCTTGATTATAAGATCCCATTTATGGTTAGTTAATATAATATAAGACGCTAACTGTTCCCGTGTAACGTCATCCGGATGACATTATAATCATGACAACCTCGCTTCTCCGCTATTGGTTCAGAATTTAAGTAACCATAGCAACCTGGCGTCTGCTTCTATCAGCTTGTAGTTTTTATCTCTTTCTCGTAGAGTAATTTTACCAATTTACTCACTTCTTATGTTTACTAACATGAAAATATTTCATAATAACGTGAAAATATATAGCCTAAAGCGTACCGTAAGTGTAAGGGTTTTTATTAAAGAAAGAATTATTCAAAAACATGCTGTGATTGCTGAAATTCTACGCCACAAAGTAGTGTGTGATTACGCGTTATTATATTAGTATAGAAGTATAGATATAGACGTAATCTTTTTTGTTGGATGTCTCGATAAGTACGTTTTGTATCTCCTAGGCTCATTAAAGTAACTTGACGAAGGGCATTACCCTACATAATAAGTACTCGTATAAGTGGGCCTTATCCAGTGGATCTGTGGCTATGTCGCAATATTTCGGGAAGGTACCGGTGCGGGAGCGATGACCGTTCGGCCAGTCCGAAGTGGCCATCGTTCATCGCGGACGTGCACAAGTGCATCCCGAAATGTGACCATGTAACCAAAAGTAGCTGACGGAAGTAAGTAGATGTAGCTAGTTTTCGAATATATTGTTGCCCTATCTCCATCTAGATAGATATTCTGAGAGGCTTAATTCTTAGGAAGGCATGGGAAAAGGATCTGACAGAGGTGATGACGCATAGAGGAAGAAGTATCCTCAAACTGTGCGTGGATTCAATAGAGGGAACGAATCTTTTATGGATGTCTATAGGCAGGATGCTTCTTTATTTCGGCGAATTTAGTTGGTCGCTTCCACATTTTATTATTAATTAAATTTATTATTTCTCTGGTCAAACTATAGCTTTCCCCCGCCCTTTCCTCTTTATTATGGAGGTAGAGGGGTTTACTAAGAAAGTAGAATATTCTACTCTCTGTTTATCCCATTTGTGTACTAAAGTTAACTTCGAAAAATGTTGAAATACTCCTTGGAATTTCTGTTTTTTTTTTTTATCAAAAATATTCTGTCAAAAAATGTTTTTTGTCGAGGATGACTTGTTTCTTTGTTTTATTTTTTTTACAAATAAAAATGTTTTAATAAATTGGAGTAACATCGTTTTTCCTTCTGTATTATAATTATTTCAACAAAAAATAATACAAGGTACTTAATATTGAAAGAGCTTTCGTAAGCTTTAATAAGGCCATGGCAGTTACTGAACCTTCCTTTCACACTGCTTAAAGTTAAAATTTTGACTACTAAGGGCCTGTCCCTCCAAATTGTAAATTGTCTGATAACAATCTAACGCGTAAAATATGTTATGGTAATATCGGATTTTGTACTTATCTGACAGTGACGTCATTTTTAAGCTAACTAAGCCTCTATCAGCAAGTGGTGGGACAGGCCGTAACTTAGTAAAATGCTTAGTAAAATATTTGGTCTTTTAAAAATTATGGGACTTTTGGAAAAATATTTTTTAAAATTATCTCCATGTTTTTTATGATTTATGATCTAGAAAAATAATATCCCAGTGAGTTAATTTATAAAATGCGATGTTATTCAAACAATGTAAATACCTACTCAAGCCCGTTAATTTCTATTTAGCGGAGCCGTTACTTTGGTATAATAAAAGACAAACTGAAACGAATTAACTCACTAAATACACTAAAGCACTTGATTATCCCAGTCCAGCATACGTAATCTACACTGGACAGCTAATATGTTAACCCACAATAGATGCCAGTGTGGGTTCACATATTTCCATTTGTAATCCAGCGTTGATTATGGTCGCTGGACTGGAATAAACTGGGCATAAAATACTAAGTATAACAATGGTATTCTAAACAATAGAGTACAGCTACTTGTAGCTCCTTTATTGTAAATCTTTGATCAAACAATTTGTACCGTTAATAAAAGCATAAACTACATAGGCCCTTTAATTTGGTCAAATTCATGAGTAAAAACAAACAAATTAAACCAATTTAAACTCTATTGTATCACAATAAGGTTTAAACATTTTACTTAGTACAGCAACATTGTAGACCTTTTATAAATTAATATGTATACGAAACTAATGTCTATTGCTTTAGAATTAAGGTTGGTTTTAACTCGAATGTTTTCAAAAAGCTTTCCTTAATATTTGTTCACAACAGGACACGCTTACTGACTGTAAATGTATTGATAACGATAATGGACGCCATTGAATTGTATGAATTGTAAGCAGGGCTTTGTCGCCGCGTCTTTTCTCGTGCTCTATGGTTAGATCTTTGATTGTAGAAAAACGGACTAGACAACGTGTTCTGTTCTCTTTTGACAATCACGTATACCTAATTATTACTTGCATAACATTAAAACGATGCATATTTACTCAAATGTACACAATATACACAAACTTATTTGAATGAGATTCGGTAGGCACTAGATAAGTCCTGTCTCTTAAAATTCAAGGGTTTTTTTTACACAGTTGGTATTGGTTGATTTATTAAACGCTTTTCTTTCTAATTTGTTGTCCGAATTCAATTGTTTCGTTAATTAACGATGTTGTTTTTGTAATATGAATTGTGATTTTAGTTACCATATCGAATGAGATTTGCGTCAAAAATTGTAATGGTCTGTCCAAATTAGTAACAGCAAAATTAGTTGGCCAAACGAAGAGAATATATTCATAAAGCAAATGAATGTCTTAATACGTTTAGCTCTGTCTTAACGCGGGGGTGCAAGAGCAGGGCCGTTTTCGGGCCCGAGGAGCGCCAACACTGGCGCCCATTGGAGTCGGGATATACTACTTTAACGATAATTGGACGCTTAATATGGTTGAAAAGACCCTAACCTATTTGTACCGTTTTTAATTTTAATTAAATCTTGTACAGCAGTTATGATTTGTTACGAGATATTTCATTGTCAAAGTCGTCCATCACTTTTACTGTGACGTGAAAGGCGAGGTGAAAGTTTTGGATGGACAAGTTTGAAGGTCAAATGGTACAATGTTGCGAACGTGCACGAAAAGTGAAATTATATTTAGATACGTTTAGAATTAAGATTAAAATACGATATGTTTTATTCGTGTTTAGATTTCAACGTTAAACTTTATTGTGTTTACTGTCGAAAAAGTTATATCAGCTCTGTTTTTTTCAAAGAGTAAAAGATGCGCAATGTATATTATGCTAGGGTTTGTTCGCAACTTCGTCCGCAAAAAAAAAACTTCGCTTATAGAATACAGACGTACGTATTCTCCAAATTTCACTGACATTTAGAGCCCTTTTAATGATACCTAGTGGTAAACATCCATCAGAACTTTCACATTTACAATATAAGATACAATTTTGGAACTGGAAAAGTTAACCTACAGTTATGTCGAATTATGTCACCAATAATTGCATAATATTTATAAATCGTAAAATATCAAAATTTAGCAACACCCTTGTAACGTAACCGTTGAACCGATGTTCGTTTATGCAAGACTGCAGCATCGATTTAATTCGCTTACGTAAACCGAATAGTCGAATGTAGCAATCATACTAGTAGTTATCTGTGTCTAGGTTTGTCGAACGATATACGAATAAAAGAAGCATTATTTTAGGTCAACTTAACATATCTTCATATGGTAATGATGAAACTTGCTGTTTCTGATAAAAATGTCCTGGCACTGTCATTGGACTCTGGAACTCCCATCTGTACACGTTAAGGGACTAGTTACCCTGTGTTATTATCATCATTATTTATTACTAGCTGTTGTTTATGAAGATATGAAATTAAAAAAATATTCTAAATTGCAGCCTATGTTACTCATAGATAAATTATCTTTCTAACGGTGAACGAATTTTTAAAATCGACCTCGTAGATTTTGAGCTATTTCAATACATACTAAAATAGAAAAATAAAAATCTCTCCTTCTCATTAGTATAGCCTAAAGTGGTCTATTACTCAACGTAGACATGCCCCATCAACAATGCCGCATTCTCTGTCTCATTTTGGAGACATTGATCCTGAAGCAATATGGCCAAAGTACACTTTGAGTTGATCTACTCTATATTCTAGAACCTTCCAACATTAATTTAGGCTATCAATGTGCTCACAGTCTCCAAATTTTAACAATCTTCTCGATGTTTTGTTACTACTTATGTGTTACTTAAATGTATTATATAAAGTTTGTTTAGTTCCGCCATAATTTTATTGTCTCACAACGGTCGCTGAGTATTCGACACGGTTATTTGCTCCATACTGCTTTTTGTACGATATTGTATGGAACGTTTTCCTTATATCGTAGTCGAAGTCGGAGGAAAGTAACAAACAGTAACTTTACACAATTGGAAATTGTGAATATTATCAAAGTGTAAACTTTTTAAACTTTAGGTGAATTACACTCCATAATAATGCGAAAGTTTAGATGGATGGATGTTTGTTAGAGTTAGTAGCCTAAACGACTGAACAGATTTCGATGAAATTTGGAATTGACGATATTCTGGAAGGACACTTTTGCTTTTTTAATTCCAAGTGAACGGAGTTGCGGGCGAAAGCTAGTCTTGAATAAAAGGCGTATACGATAAATTGGCAAAGAAGTAGGCAATAGTATAGGAAGATCGAAAAATATTTAAGAATCAAACTTAACACATACCTAAGCCTATAAATCTTTACCAATCGTTTAATTTTGGGTTCGAAATAATAGAATTTCGCAGTATACTAATATAATTAAAATTTCTAACTTCTAAATCGTTTCCAGAAGCTACAATGGCAACATCCGTCCTGCAGCCAGAAGATTGCCGTCGCGAGCATGAGCCCAAACCTGACATCGATTCCCCCAGATTGACTGAAGATGAACGCATGTATATCCTGGAAGGGAAGGAGAGGGAGACTGGGGAACTTCCACCAGAACTAAGGGAGAAAGCCAGAGTCGAACTGAGGGAGGAGCCAGCGCTTAGAGAACAGGCGTTAACGCAGATGAGACACTTCATTGATAAACATCCTGCTATCAGGAAATGCAGAACTGGTTAGTTAAAAATCTTTAATTATTTATATAGAAAAGTAGAAGAAACTATGCGGCCCCTCCATAGGGAAGTGCACTAGAAGATAATTTTACCTTGGAAATGGCTTAAAGTAAATTCAAATAACATCGTTTTTAGAAAAAATAACTACTTTACGTTTAGGGACATTGTGTCTTCTTTAACAGTATGATATTCGTTTCAGATGCTCCTTTCCTTCTGCGTTTCTTACGCACGAAGAAGTATTCGATACCACAAGCCTGTTCTATGTTGGAGCGGTATCTGACCATCCGTCAAATGTATCCCAATTGGTTCCAAAAGCTCGATCCGTTGGACCCTAAGGTTGCTGCTGTTATTGACGCTGGATACTTGGTTCCTTTGCCAAAAAGAGACGCCGAAGGAAGGAGAGTCGTATTATCTTGTATGGGTAAGTTAATTTAATTTGAAATAACGAAATTCAAATGTTCAATAACTCTGTTTTCTGAAAAACGCGTCAAATTGTTCTTTTCACAAATACTCCCGTTCATAAATCATTTTTTGAGAGAGAGAGATTAATCTTAAACTAACTTGATTTAAGTTTCAAAAATCAAGCTTATACTAACTTTCACCCACGACTTCTTCTACGTGGAATTAAAAAAAAACAAAAGGGAGTGTCAAGTGGCAAGTGTTCTTACAGACCATCTTTTACATCTATGCCAAAAATCATCGAGATCCGTTCAGCCGTTTTGGCTAGAAACTCTAAAAAAACATCTATCCATCTAAACTTTCGCTTTTATTTTAGTAAGATATTTATTTGATACATTGGTGTTCTTTTTGCTCGCATTACAAGATGTAATAGTTCTTCAAATTTACATTGATGTATTTATATGCAGGTCGTTTCGACCCTCACTTGTACGACAGCTGCGTGATGGCGCGCGTGCATTCAATGATAGTGGAACTGCTCCTGGACGAGCCGCGCTCGCAGCTGCTCGGCTACACGCACGTCAACGACGAAGCCGGCATGCAAATGCCGCACGTCAGCCTCTGGTCGCTCACTGACGTCCGTGTTATGCTCAATTGTATACAAGTATGTCTTTATATTTATTCTAGATACTTAATTTGTATATTTTATACTTGTATAGCCTTACAAATAAACGCGGCATAAAGTTAAACTTAGGAATACAGTGAGTATAAGCAAAATTTCCACTAATATTTGCTTATACTCAGTTTATTCCCAAGTTTACCATCATACCGCGTTTATTTGTAAGGCAGTTAGTGTAAATTTAATGGCTTATTTGTAATTATTGTTTTTTTTCATAACTTTGTTGTATAATTCATTATATACAGGTATGTTGTAATTAGTTTTCTCAGGCTATCCTCTACATCTATACCAAATTTTATTGAAATCCGTTCAGCTATTTAGGCTACAAACTCCAACAAACATTCATCTAAACTTTCGCATTTGTAATATTAGTATGTTTTTTGTTTTACAGAATTCTACTCCTATGCGCCACAAATGCACACATTTTGTGAACATCCCACATTACGGAGTGAGATTTTTCGAATTCGCCGTCTCCTTGCTCAGTGACAAATTGAAGGATCGTGTTATGGTAATTTTTACATTAATAGTAAAATTAAATCCGACTTATAGACACCCAACAAAAGAGTTTGCCATATTACGTAATCGAAATATTTTTAAACAAGCGTGTATTTTCCATGCATATCTTTAAAAATTAATCAGTGAAATTTTTAGTATTCAAAGAGTTTTTTTTTTCTAGTTCCATCGTACATCAGAAGATCTAACAAAACACGTGGATCCATCGATCTTGCCCAAAGAGTATGGAGGTACCGTGCCTCTGAGAGACATGGTAGAAGAACTCAAGAGGAATCTTCTTAAACGTAGAGAAGAATTACTTGCTTTGGACGATATGTCCGTCGATTTGTACGCATTGGAGAAAAATGATTTAACCCAAGACATACATTCGACCGCCGGTTCGTTCCGAAAATTGGAACTCGATTAAATGTTTTCTTTTGTATTTTTAATGTGTTATGTTTTGTAACACATAACAGAGCAGATGTGATTTTTTTGTATGTTCTAAGTGAAATGCTCTTTAATTTTATATAAAAAAAAATTAAATCCAATAAAAATTTGTTTTGTAAAACTATAGAATATCTTAGCATTAATGGTTAGTTATAAGCGTCTATATTAATAAAAAAATGTTTAGATTTAATTTTTAAACAAAAAACGTCCTAATTTCAAAAGGCACGTATGCAGAATTTATAAATTATATTTCTCGAAACATTCCTTAATTTTACTTGGAGATCTCAGGTTTATTTTCAATGCGTTTTGATTGTTAACGGTTATAATCAAAGCTGAAAGACAAAAAAATATTTTAATCATCTGACATGTGTCAAAACGCGGCAATAAAACGTTCAGGATTTTTGCCACCTATCTACGTAAACAGGATGTTATTAGACTAGCCTATTGCCAGTTTTATGAAACAGTGGCATAATACCGTTCCAATTCAGCAAGGTTATGGTTATATATTTTCATTTTAAGAAAGATATCCGTGGTTTTCACCTGTTAGTTACTAGTTAGCTAAAGGCAGCCGTCGGTGGAGTCATGTTACCATTAAACCTGGTTAAATTTTCCACTGACAGTGGGTTATAATAATAATTTTTCTTAGAATAATGTTAGGCGATTATCAATTTGCCGACTTGACAACCTGACTGCTGCTTATTTTGTATCTGTAATTTTGTCCCTTTATTTTATATGATAAGTTCTTCGCGAATGGGTAAGAGAGCCGAAAACTTCTGTTTTAAATAATAAATGTTTTTTATTTAGATTTTGTTGTATTCATTTAAACACGCAGTTTTTTCTAATCTGAACTGCGTACCTTCTTTTATTTTGTTATTTAATTCTGGAGTAAGAAAGTAATGGAATGGCTTGGTAATACTTTCAAATGAATTCCAATAAATTTGCCTTAGTTCTGGGGTAATTGATATATTACAAAAGATTTAATTGCAATCTTGATGTTGCTCAACACGTGTTACGTATTTAATCCAAACATAATGCGAGTAAATGTTTGTGGGTCAATTAAATTGAGAATTCTAGTGTGTAGTAGCAGTTCGATCGAAGATAATGGGTCGACCCAGGGGAAGTACCCCAAGATGAAGTATTGATTTGGACAAAATGGCGGAAATCTACTGCCTCAGGGGATTAATATTTATTACAACCTATGAAGTAGATCAAGCTCAAGTACTTGGATAACGATGATGACAAAGTATATTCTGATAAATATGGTTCTCCTGATTAAAAAATAATAAGCCGCAGTAGCAATAGAATGGTCACCCCATTTTACTTTAAGCTCATCACGTTGGAAAAGTTTGTAATTTCTTACTTCTAAAAAAAGAGCATAACTTCTATTTATTATTACTAATATTTAATTTGTGTTTTTTTTAAAAAAAAAAACGTAAATTCATTTTAAGATTCCTAACATAGCCACTTTCTGAACGAAAACCATAGAGTAAATACTAACCTTGATTCTCAACGTCAAAATCGGCTAACTTCGCTGTAGTTTTTCCCGCAGTTTGGCGTCCACCGATTGATAAAAAATTTTAACATCGTTTTCTATGTATTAATATTGAGAGAACATTAATTTATCCTTATGGTTTATTTCTCCGTGAGACATTTATGAGTTGGACATGTCGTTGATGTGATTGTAAAGTTGTTGTACAGCGGTTGTTGTAATTTTGTAAACATCGGGAACGCAGGCCCCACGTCTATGATTTCTTGTACGTATTTTGGCCATTATCGGTATCATCTTAATTGTGTTATTGGTGTATTGTTACTGTGTATTTTGTTAACATTTTAGAGAATATAGACACGGGAATATAGAAACTTGAGGTATGTTTGTGTGATGATGTTACACGATAGTTACGGAGTTGTGGTCGAATGATGGTGGAAAGAATCATTCACATATTTGATTATCAAAACAATGTGTTGGGAAGATTCATATTTTGGCATATTTTTTTTCGTTATAGTGATGCAGTATTTTGATTATATGTTATGTTTTGTGTTAATGTAAGGTGATAGCAGGTGACGACGTTAGTAACATCTTTACAGGATGTTGTGGCGTAGCGTTCCTTTTTCATAAATTTTTGTATACAGTTTGTCGCGAAACATGAATTTTTTTGCATAATGCATCATTTTTTGTTACAAACATGAAATATATTCAGTTTCAGGTGATCTGACCCATTTTTCCCATATTTTAGTACATTTTCTATATGCTGCCAATGTGAAAGATTTCTTCTTGGAATGAATACTTAATTTGGTGTAATGATTTGAAATATAAAGAAATACAGGTGTAGTCTATTTTTAAGATCCCATAAATATTAGGATTTTACATTGTTTTGTTTCTTTGTTGATGTTAGTCAAATATGATTGATTTTAATATATAGGTCAAAGTAAAAGAAAAATTCTGTATTGTCTATTGCTTGGCAGAGGATCTGTATGTTGTCAATTTTGTTATTTTCTGCTTGTCTTCCATCTTTTTTATCTTATTGATTAAAATTTCCTTTTGTATAGTTATAACATAATTTTACATTTCAATAATTTAAGGATCATTTACTTTAGGATTAATGTTTCTTTGATGATGTTTCTTTGATTTTTCACAATTAACAATATCTATATTTTTTTTAATTAACTAAAAAATCAATAAGGTAAAGATAAATTCCCTAAAGCTTTAAAATAATTCCAATTTAAAAATATTACATTACTAAAGAATACTAAATAATTGTATAAGTTATAAAAATTATTGAAAAAAACATTACAGATGAATTGAGTGACTCCTTCTTTTGGGAAATTGGTCAATAAACCAATACTTAAAAATAAAACTTGTGTAAGACAAGTCATTAATTCACTGGTTTTTGTCTATGACTTTCAATATAGCATTTTAGTATTTTTTTTTACACTAGAAGTTGGCCAATGTGTTATTTGCATAAGCCTTAGAACCTAATTATATTATTAGTTAAATGAAATTGTATAAAACAATCTATGTACTCTGTTTTCTTCTATTAAAATGATGCTTTATCATCTCTTAACTAAACTAAACCATCATACTTAATGGTAATATTATAAATTCAAAAGTTTAGATGGATGGATGTTTGTTACAGTTTATAGCCTAAACGGCAGAACAGATTTGAATTAACTTTGGTACAGATGTAGAAAATAGTCTGGAAGAACACAGGCAACTTGCATTTGTTTTAATTCCACCCGGAGGGGGTCCCGGGCTAAAACTAGTTTTACATATCTTGTTAAGTTATATTATTATGTTTAATTTTTGTACAACATTAACAAGGACAATGTAATTCTAAATAAGTGAACTAAAGAAAGCCATAATTGTATGTAAAATTGTAGATTTATAAAGAGAAGTGTGAAAAGATTTAGCAATCCAGTCTTCTAGAGAATTTAGTGCAAATTAAATGATTCTGGACCTTATCATAATTGTTATTAAATAGTAAATAAATTAAAACTTGATATTTATCATTTTCAGATTGGCAGCATGGCGGAAATAGTGTACCCGCAAGGCTGCCGCCCTATCACGGATGACCTAGGTCCAGATGAGCTGGTTCGAAGGCTAAAGGTAAGATTTATTTCAATCTTACTAATATTATAAATGTGAAGATTGGATGGATGGATGTTGTGTTGTAGCCTAAACGGTTAAACGGATTTTGATGATATTTGGTATAGATGTAAAGGATAGTCTGGAAGAATGCATAGGCTACTCGCTTTTGTATTTTTTTACATCCATGCAGATGGCTTCTGTTGAACTGTTGAATTTTTTAAAAGCTTCAGTACAGTATGTAACACATACACACATAACATTCGTAAACACTTGCTATCTCCTTTACTTCAAAGCAAATGCAAGGAATAGCGATATTTCTGCAAAACAAGTACTATGGTAATGATGTTTAACAATACCGAGGGACCTTTGAGGCTGATCTACCTTCATCACTAACTTGCTGTTATCCCTAAGTAGTGTGAAGACGGTATGTTCTTTTCCATACATCTCTATCAGCCTTTATCTAAATTAACTCACTTCTTAAGCATATCCTCTTTCATGCAAATAATCCATACTTTGGTCTTCCTCTACTGTCAATCGGTTCTGTTTTTGTCAGGAATGACTTCCTGAGATAACAGATTAGATAAAATGTTTGCGGAACATGATTTTCTTAATATAACATATAGAATTACCTCTTTTGCTCATCTTTGTGTCTGAGTATTATTAAAGAAAAGAAGTATTTATTTATAGGAGTGTAACAAATTATATCATAGTGCATTTTTCTGGGATAAAAAGCAACCTAAGTGTTGACTTTACTAGACTTTTTATGTCTTACCAGATGAAAAGCAGATGAATTAAATACATTTCTGTACATAATTGCATTAAGAATTGCAAATGTAACTTCATAACATGTTGCTCAATGGACAAAAATGCTGATGCAAATTAAAACAATGAACAAAATGTGTTGTAAGAGAAACTTGTTAGTCAATAAATCTTCAAACATACTATAAGATAATGAAATGTATTTGATAGCAACTGTGGTCTTCTACTTTCTCTGCTTTATAAAAACTAGCTGTTTACATGCGGTTTTTGTTATTTTTTATGCAAAACTAGCTGTTATTTGCGACTATGTGTTTTTTTTTTAAAATACAGCCTATGTTACTCAGCGGTAACATAGTTTTTAATGGTGTTGAATTTTTTATATTGACCTAATAGTTTTAAGAAACAAATACATACAAAATTACAAATCTTTCCTCGTCATAGTATTAATGTAGGTATAGAAGTATAGACAAAATTAATTAACATATGTCTTATTTTATACTTTAATTATCTTTATAAATTTTGTTAAAATCCGTTTTCAACCATCAATCCATCCATGAGCGTCAGGGGTAGAGAAAAAGTGGGGACAATGAGTCTCCTGACACTTGTGTGCGGTTCACACTTGGCCAGTCCATTTGGTCAATAGCACTCAACTATACTCGCATACACTGGCACATCATGGTAACTAACTGGTACCAGTGAGTTTATAGAATCTGTCTACTTCTTGCATCTGTCAAAGTGTGAACTGCATTATATTTTGCTTAACCTTAATTAAATATTATTTAAAGGAGAATAAGGGAGGTGGGATGATTATGAATGTGGAGGGGTACACCGGTAGAGGTAGACATAGAAAGAGATGGATGGATTGCGTAAAAGGTGACAATCAAGAAGGGAGTGATGAGTAAGATGACGGATGATAGAGTTATGTGGAGGACGAAAACCCGGTGCGCCGACTCTACGAAAGTAGGCTAAGGCAGGGGAGATGATGAATAAGGGAGATGGAATGATGTTATGTATAAATGTTTCTGTGGTGGAAACACAATTGTAATGTTTTATGATTGCTGTGAAAGAAGCCTTTTGAAGTATATATGATATTATGTAAACACTCGGCTCAATTAGATTAGACGTTATTGTATGTTTTTTATATATTCTATATCTTGGTTAGGATATTGTAAAGTAAGAAAGTAATTTTAAAACCCAACTTTACTTTTGAAATTCCATTGTAACAACATGTTTTTTGTTACAAACATACAACTGTTTCTATATTATTATACTAGCTGTTCCCGTGCGACTTCATTCGCATGAAATTATGAAAATTGTTTTATTGATTACATTTGTCAAATTCAATAGCAAATGTCAAAATGACATGACATGATGACAAAGTATGGCAATTTTGCTTCCTTGATTTTAGCAGCAACTTATAGTCTCTGTCCCATATTACGGTATTTATCCAAAATATTTACACCCTAAGTTTAATGGCGTGAAAATATATAGCCTAGAGTGTGATGTAAGTGTAGGGCTTTTTTTTATTAAAAAAAGGAGTTATTTAAAAATATCCTGTAATTGATGATATCTTAGGCAACAAAGAATTGTGTGTTTACGCTTTATTATAATAGTATAGAAGTATAGGTTACTTGAATATCAAAGGTTTACCATTTTTTTCTTGTGGATAGTTCAAAAGTTTGGTTTGAACATACTATAGGTAATATTGAATTTTAAAGCCTTAGTTTACTTAAGCAAAAAGTCATTACTAAAGTACTAAGTATGGTACCGTTAATATATACGAAACAATAAAACATCTTCATGTTACTCTTAAATTGTTAACTTTGTCATTTCGAAATCTTACTAGCCATGTTATATAGTGATTGTGAATCATTAACTAAATCAGTGATAATATGCCGTGCAATTTAAGTCAGTTTACAAATTGTCAAATAGTGAAGTGATTTTTTCTCATGCAATGTTAAAGTTACCTAGTATTTCTATTGTAAACAATTAAAACTAAGTAAGAAGTCAAATTATAAAGTGACGATGTTTTACAATCTGACGGTGGCATATACAACGTCTTCATGCGGTCAATCAATAATTTATTATGTTTGCGGTTGACCGCTTGTAAACGCATTGTCTATAGAAATTTATACGTGCATTCTTATCTATGTGCTTTCATAGAGAATCAAGTTTTAATTAAAATATATTACGCCAGACAGCTTTGCATCACAAAAGATTTAATCAGGCATACAATAAATACAGTAAATCGTAGAATAGTTAGTACAAATGAGCTATAAAATATTAGATCGTGGGTTCGAATCTGTTGTGTTTTTTTACAATAAAACATCGGTAATTTGCTGATGTTATTTATGTTTAGGAAATAATTAAAAATGGATACTACATGCCTCTTAAAATAATGATGTTTTTTTTTAGTTTTCTTCTAATAATTTTCTAATGCGATGTAAATAAACACATTTTCCTATCGTTGACTGTGAAGTTGGGGCTGGTCGTTAGTCTATACTTCAATAGAGGAAAGATTTGTATTTTTGTATGTATTGAAATAACTCAAAAATTACTGGGCCGATTTTAAAAATTCTTTCACCATTAAAATGCAAGTTATCCCTGTGTAACATATTTTTTAATTTCACGTAGACGAAGTCGCGTGCAACAGCTAATAGATAATGAATCTATAGTTTTCTACAGTGGTTGTTAAATTATAACAAGGTAATATTAATACTGTTTGCCGTTATCGCGGTATTGATTTTCTGCAATATGCGAGTTGCAAAACGTTTGTGTCAAGGTGAAGCGACCTGGGCCGCGGACAGTGAATCCTCGTATTAATAATGCACGTGACCTATTGGGGTAGGCAGATATGAATATTTAATAGTATGAAGTACGAAAATAATGTACTCCTTTTTGCTTATTTTTTCTCTATGGCACCGCAGAGTTATGTGTTGACCCATTAAAATCCCCTCGGTGGCCATTCTTAAGTGACCCCTCAAGTGTTCTCCAAGAAACACACCTTTTTTTACCAAACAATAAGAGTTCGCTTTCATGTCACCATTATATTTCTATCAATCTCACTAAAATGTACTGATGACGATATGTTTTTGTACATGTTTTTTGGCAGTGGAAACACAACTCTTTACTTAACTCACTCCTCCTATTTTAAAACCCGTCAGTCACATGTTTTTGTCAATCGTATTTTTGGCACCAATTCTTGTGTAATTTATCATTAATTTTGCAGTATTTATAACTCTATTCTATATATACGTATTATTTATAGTTTTGATAAACGTAAGCATTGTTTTGATAAACATTACGGGAAATATCTAAACGGTTAAATGTACGGAAATAAACATTATTTTCATGCCTTAGAGCGGGCGTACACCTCTGACTAAACTATCGCACAACTGTTGTGCGATTGTCGATTGTTTCGTAGTCAATACAACTGTTTAGTTGCACATCTAAAAATCAAAGCACGACTAAACAGTTGTGTGTTAAAAGTGTCGCACGCTCTTAGGTGTAGAAAATTTAGGGACAAATGTTTTGTGTCTAATCAGGTAAAATCATGCTAAAAGGTAAAGATTTGGATGAATGGTTGTTTGTTACGTATCTCGTAATCGACTTAACGGATCTCGATGAATCAGAATCAACCCCACCCATACACAACCCCTAGACGTCTATATCGATTTGTAGCTGCGAATGAATAGACTTACAAAGATATTAATAAAAGGTCAAATAAATCCATGTAACTATTTAATATGTATCTTACTAATATTATAAATGCAAGTTTGGATGGATGGACGTTAGTTTGTACTGATGAATCATCTCGATGATGTATGGCATACATGTAAAGGAATAGTCTAGAACTTACAAGCTACTCATTTGTTTTGTTTTTTAAATTCCACTCGGACAGAGTCGCGGGCGAGAGCTAGTATCGAAATTAACTGAATAAGTGATAATTAAAATTATCACACCGTTTCGAACTAAATGACTTGAAGATACCTCGTATATATTTTGCTAACGATATAACTTTAGGCGTCGCCAG